TTTTCATGACAAGGCCTTTCATCATGCCTGAACACCGCCTCCACCTGGAGCTTGCACTCACCAGATGACCTCTGACCTTGCCACGGGGTGAAGGTTACAAGAAGCATAGAACTGGGGAAAGCATCCAGAGAAATCCTCATGTACAGAGAAATCACTACCTGTTTAGTAAAAAGTCTAGTTTTTGGTTTGGTTAGTCTAGTTGTGAGGTACCAAAAGTTTTGGAGAAGTTGGTTGGGAAATTGGAGGCTTTATTTTAAAAACTAGTCATTTTATGTGATTTAGTGAAAAAGTTTGTTTATTTGTGTTCATTAATGTGTTGGCTTTTATGTACTCTTTTTTTTTTCAGCTTTTGGGGGAGGGTTAAATGGGATTTCCAGGGGTTACGTGGCTTTAGGGCTTCATTTGGAGAACCTCTGAAATAAAGAGGAACCATTGTTACCAATTAGATCATGTAACTTTTTGTATGTTGACCCACTTTACCATGTGCTTTAATCTTATAGAAATCCTTTGAATAAAAAGTGATGTTTAAAACTTTCTACACTTTAACATGTGCTGACTCCAGTCTGTATTCTTTCTTAGAGGCATTTTAAAACAAAAAACACAAATGAACATTTATAGTCCCTCTTCACGGAGCGAAGAGGGGGAATTGGAAATGCTGTCAATCTGTGTGTGTTGTAAGCATGATAACTTGGAAAAATAAACAATGTGCCAACTTCCATCTTGATGTGTGGCTGCATCTAGGTGTAAGACAGATCATCCAAAGTTGGGTTGCTATATCGAAATGCAAGATGGCTGTTGGATAACATCAGCTCATTAAATAAATAAGTCACACAGGAAAGGAGAAGATCTTTCTTAGTCAGGTTTAATTTTGCAAGATGGAGCAGCCATTGATAGGATGTTGCATCACACCCGGATCACAAGTTCTGCTCATAGGCAGTATAAGGAAGTGTCTTTATAATGGTACAAAGACAAGGTCAAGATTACTCTGCTTTCCAGCTTAGGGCCTTGAGTTTATCGGGTGAATGGCTCCATGCTTCTGCAGGCTCCACTTTGCAAAAACAAAACCACTCTTAACACACACATTGTTTATATAGCATTTGACATTAGTAAGTGAAAAACGTCCATGACCTTTACATTCCCATCATTTCACCCCTGTTCATAGATTTTATCACTTATCAATAACTCTTGCAAGTTAGGATGCTTATGCATGCGGTGGAAAACCCACCCAAGGCAAACAGGTGGGAAAACACCAGTATAACCTTGTGCCTCCATGATGGTGGCCTTTTAATGGCACATTCAGCATCCTGGGGATCGTCAGTTCAAAAGCAATCAAAAACAAATGCTCTCCTCAATCAAATCAGAACTCTCTGTTCCTGGAAGTTCTGAGTATTAAGAAAATCATAAAAACAACAAGTAGACAGAATGGTATTCACCTTCATTTGAACCAACATCAACATTTCAGTGTCATTTCCTCTATGAGGTTAGAAAACGTTGGTTACGTACTGTAACCCCAGATTCTATGAGTATAGGCGTAGCCCTTTAAGAGCTGTCGCTTAGTGGGTTTATCCCATCATGCGAAGCATTGCACTGAAAAATTTAGTCCACGCCCACCCGCTGAGTGGGCCCCACCCGGTCCGTATAAATTACATTAAGAGCGGGTAATCGGCTCCCAAATAGCTTTTTCTTCAGCCATTTAGGAGCCAGTGAGGCCCGGCGTTTAAAGGGCTACGCCTATACTCATAAAATCTGGGGTTACAGTACGTAACCAACGTTCTATTTCTTATAGGCTTCGCCCTTTAAGAGCTGTCGCTTAGTGGGTTAAGGGCGAAGCAGATGTGGTCCTCGCCTCACTGTGTCCATTCGAACACCATACGAAGTGGCAGCTTGCCCAAAAAACGTCTTGTCACTCAGATCTCCATGTGCGTAATTACGTGTTGCGTAATTATGCGTACCATGCACAGACGCATGCTGTGTAGTTATGCGTTCTGAGTGCATGAACGCCCCGGAAACTTTCAACGGGGAAAGGAAGATGCTGAAAAAGGGCCATGAATCAACAGATTCACGGCTGAACAATACGAACAGATTAATAATAACAAGTGAGCTGATTATTAATCAACTGAACTGAATGGTAACAATAGTCATGGTGACAATAGAACCAAAATAACAGTCACAACTTGTGGCTGATAACATCTCACACTGTAATGCATGTAGTCAGATGTGAGTTTAAGCGGGGTTCCATAAAACAACAATATTCATTCTGTTAAAACACTAAGGACAGAATGTGTCATATGTAGGGGAACACCACCTCAGAAAAAGAACACCTCATCTCAGAAAACAGTTCAGCTCAGCTTAAACAGAAAAAGACCTACAAAGGGATTCAATTCAAGGAAATAACATCATTATATAAAACTCCGAGGGAGGACACACCAACATCAACCACATACATAAAAACTAACTGGGAGAAAGAATCCAAAATTGAAATATCATCAGAAGAATGGCAGGATATTCAACCTTCATTTAGACAGGTAAATCCCATTGAGCCTCGAGGACACATTTACAAGAGAGACCTGATTTCAACAAAGAAAGGTGACAACAATGGACAACAGCAACAACAATAAACAATTAAAATTAATATATGTATAAATCAGAGCACAACAACAAACTCGAGACTTTGGAGAGAGTTTGGGTGGAAAAACCTCACTAGGTTCTTCATTACACCCAAGATAAAGAGTAAACAAACCAAATCTCATCTACCATGTTGGAGAATGTGTGGAAATATAGAAGCAAACCATACACACATATTCTGGGAGTGTCCAAAATTAGATTTATATTGGCAAAATGTGAATACTACAATCAGAGCTATTTTGGGATACCCATTATCAAAATATTTTAAGACAATGTATCTTGGAAATATAAATAAATGTGTATTGAATGAAGATATGTATTTGGTTAAGATACTGTTAATTGCATGTAAAAAAAAGCTATAACAAGAAACTGGTACCAGATATCAGCTCCCTCCATACAACAATGGCTGCATATTGTTAGGGAAATTTATGAGATGGAGCAAATGACCTACATTCTTAGACTAAAAGAAGATATTTTTTTGAATAAGTGGGAAAAATGTACACAGTACGACACCCAAGACAAGAAGTGAGGAAACTCAATGTCATTAACAGGGGAATTTCTAGACCATAAACATCTATGACAGAGATTTATTTTATTGTTATTATTATTATTATTTTACATATATAATTTTATTTTGTTATTTTTATTTATTTATTTTTTAGTTATTGTTGTATGAATGTGTGCACCCCTTTATTGTTATTTTTTGAAATTGTTATTGTAAAGAGTGGCCTGCTTAGGCTACCATAATTTGGAAAATGTATGAGATATATCCTTAGAATGTTATGTACTATTGAAAATGTTAATAAAAATTAAAGTGGGAAAAAAAAAATCTGTCCGTGTCAACGCGGATCTTTTCCTCTAATTAACATACAAAAAAAAACTACATTTCCCCCCATTGTGTCCGTGTAAATACGGCCTAATGAGGCCATCAGACAAGTTTAATATTGGCTTTGTTGCAGTCTCACATCCTGAGCAAGCACAGTGGCAACAGTGGGAAGGAAAAACTCATTTTTAAAAGGAAGAAACCTCCAGCAGAACTAGGCCCAGGACAAGCGGCCATCTGCTTTGACCGGCTGGTTTGAGAGGACAGGAAGGAGAGACAGACGAACACAGAATGGTAGGTCCAGATATAGGTCCAGGTGTACCTGAAAGACAAAAAATAAACACATGTTAAGGATAGAAAAAATAATTACAAATACGAAACAGGTTGAGCAGAGTAAGTAAAGACAGTAGCAGAGTGAAAAGTGTGGTCAGTTAGTCCTCCAGCAGTCTAAGCCTATAGCACCTTAATAGATGAGTAAGCAACTTTGAAATAACCTGATCCATGCTCAATAATCCAGGTGGAAAAATCTAAAAAAGTTGTCAGGTCCTCTGGACGGGTTAAAAAACAAAAAATTGTAGAAACGTTTTGCCTTTCATCCGAAAGACTTCTTCAATTCAGTTCCCAAGAGCCTGGAACTCAAATCTTCTGTGAGCGGACACCGGGCAAGCAAGATCCTATAGAAGGCACATACCCAGCTGCTGAATGAACAGATGAGACAGATTAGAGCTGATATTTCTAACCCGGGTCCAAAGCCCAGCCCAACCCTAATTTGGGCTGGGCCATAATAATATGCTTAACATACAGGCCAGGACAGTCTCAGGCTTTGATGCGGTTTTACAAATCACACAGCACAAATAAAAGTAAATAAGAATGCACAATATAAAACTGTGTTAGTCTACTTGTAGAGGAGGAGGCAGTGAGTTTATATGTTGAGAGGATGAAGAAATAAAGAAGAGTGCAGCAGTTAATCAGATTGTTCAAGGATTCAAGGTTCTTTATTTGTCATTCACACCACATGTGGTACATGTGGTGGAACAAAATTATGTACACAGGGTCCCAGTTACATCCAACAATAAAATGTAAAAGAAAAACAGTGTAAATGAACATATATCTGTGAGATATTATTCATAAATTAAACAGATTCTTTCATTTTTCTGGACTGAGTTCTATGTTGCATTGAATGATTAAATGTGACGTGAGACATTAATTTTCTTTGACCCATCAAAATGAATGCGGTCATTTATTAACAGAATCAAAGTTTAACATCAAACATTTACATTAATTTGGCAACATTGATTTCAACAACAGCTTAATTAATTAGCTTTACAATCAGAAACCATACGGCCATGGTATCTGGGTCAGCTTTACAACAGACATTTCTGAAAATATCTGGATTAATTACT